ATCAACACTGAGTTGTGAGGCAGAAGCACATTGATCCCTGGAGTCACTAACCAAAGAGCCTAGCCCATCCGGCAAAGTTTCAGACCAATAAGAGACTCCGCCTCAAACAAAGGGTGACTCGCTTCACATTCAGGCACACACACATGCACATCACCAACACATACATATGTGCACCCACACACAAGCACATGTGTGCACAAAGACATTTCTGAAGGTAATAATACCGTGTAGAGTTATAAATCTCTCCTTTCCTGAAGCTCTTTGAATTCTTATACAGTATAAATAACCAAGCGAGCCTCTATTCACTGAGCAAGTACTGCAGGAGTGATGGATGGTCCATGGTCTCATTGTCAGTCTCCTTAAGATATAGCTGGTGTCACTCTTACAGAGTTCAAGATGGCAGACACAGTGTGGAGAAGACACGGTGGGGTCATTATGGGTGTCCATGCTCTCAAAGAACACCGGACCAGCCATTTAATCTTAACTTTTGGAAGGTAGACATTTCCACACCCCAAGGCCTTCCAGTTACCTGAGAATCGTGGATGCAACGGGGCTTGGATTGGTAACGAGGCTCCCTGAGCCTATCCACAAACAAAACGGGCAAAACTAGACGAAATGGTGTTTCCTATCTTCAACGAGTTTATCTTTTCCTCTTGCGGAAACGTGAGCCCTCGTGCCCCTTTGGAAACATCAAAATGGGAAGATTTGTTTTTTTAAGTTCGAAATAGCTTAAGCATGGAAAATGTTTAAGCAAAATGAATTCTTGAAAATTTTTGGAATTATCAGCCGGTGCTGTGGGAAGGAACTTGAAGGGAGCTCCCAACAAGCAGGGGACTTGGCATCCTCAAGAGTGGGAGAACGCTCCCCCTGGTGGATGGATTTAGGATTGCAGGGAGAGGGAGGGATGAATCTGTCCTTATTTTGTTTATGCTATAATTATCCTCTCAAAGCTCAAAAGCATCTGGGGACAGAAATACCTTATGTAAGTGATGTTTTGGAGAAATCTCAGAAATCCACACTGAATGGCCAGCGGCAAAATGAACAGAAGTCTCCAGGATGAAAGCTTCAATTTCCAGAAACTTCTGGAATAACTCAGTTTTTCCAAAATGCTGTCAGCTTTCTGACTCCACAGGCTCCACATAGAAGAAATTAACTAATCTCACTTGGAAAATATTTAGGGTAAGAATTGCATGTATGGTGTACGGTTTAATTTCCTTTGTCAACTAGACTGGCTTTAAAATCATCTAGGACTGTGGTTCTCAACTTTCCTGATACTGCGTGCGACCCTTTAATACAGTTTCCTCGTGTTATGGTGACCAACCAGAAAATTATCTTCATTGCTCCTTACTAACTATAATTTTGCTACTGATAATACGCAAGATATGTGATATGTGACCACTGTGAAAGGGTCCTTCAACCCCTCCAAAGGGGTCCTGACCCACAGATTGAGAACTGCTGACAAACCTTTGGGTGTGTCTATAAGGACATCTCAAAAGTAGATTAATTGTGCTGGAGAGATGGCTCAAAGGTTAAGAGCTATGGCAGAAGACTCAAGTTTGGTTCGGTGGCTCACAACTCTCTGTGACTCCAGTTCCAGAGGATCGGGTGCCTTCTTCTGATCTCCACAGTCATCAGGCATATGGGTGATACACAGACATATATTTTTTTGGATTTTTTTTTGGTTTTTTTTCAAGACAGGGTCTCTCTGTGTAGCCCTGGCTGTCCTGGAACTCACTCTCTGTGTAGCCCTGGCTGTCCTGGAACTCACTCTGTAGACCAGGCTGGCCTCGAACTCTTGAACTCAGAAATCCGCCTGCCTCTGCCTCCCAAGTGCTGGGATTAAAGGCGTGCACCACCACCGCCCGGCATACACAGACATATATGAAGGCAAAACACCCATACACACTAGATGATGATGATAAATTATATAAACAAATGTTCGTGGGACATTATCTGTGTCAAAGTGCGTCTATGGTAAAAGAAAGAAAGGAAGATGCCAAGCAAAGAAAGGCAGTGGACCGCTAGACAAAGCAATAGATCCCTGGCCTAACAAAGCACTGATTCCTGGAAGGCCAAGCATCTATTTTCTGTCTTATTTTTATATCTGATTTGTTGGTCTTGCAGATACAAAAAAAAATTAGAGCATTATTTATTTACATGTGTGACACATGACATCTCGGCCACATTTCAGTGTTTAGGGAGACATAACGTAGATAAATCCTGATCCCAACTCTTTGTCTAAGTGACTAGCAAGACCAGACCACAGACACTCCATACTGAAGCTACAGACTGTGTTTCAGTATAAAAACATTTATTCAGGTTGCATGATTTTTGTTTTTTGTTTTTTGTTTTTTTGGATTTTGAGACAGGGTTTCTCTGTGTAGCTCTGGCTGGCCTGGAACTCACTCTAAAGACAAAGCTGGCCTGGGACTCAGAGATCTGCCTGCCTCTGCCTCCTGAGGGCTAGGACTAAAGGCGTGCGCCACCACCTCCCAGAGGTTGCACGAAATTTTTAAAATGTTAAATAGAAATATCAACTTGGAATAATTTTGATAATTGCAGTTATTTGGTCCTCCAATGAAATTTTTTATAGTTTTAATAGAGATTTATATAAATCATTAAAACTATAAATGTAAGCATTTTTTTACACTCATTTAATGTTTTTAATGTAGGTCATTCAAATTTTTTTCAATTTTTATTCCATAATCTTTTAAGGAATTTAAGCCGGGCAGTGGTGGCACACGCCTTTAATCCCAGCACTTGGGAGGCAGAGGCAGGTGGATTTCTGAGTTTGAGACCAGCCTGGTTGGTCTACAGAGTGAGTTCCAGGACGGCCAGGGCTACACAGAGAAACCCTGTCTTGAAAAAACCAAAAAAAAAAAAAGGAATTTAAGTAGTTTTCCCTAGTTTAAGATAACAAATTATGTGAAAAAAAATTTCACACTATAACATGGTGATTTTGCTGAAAGAAGAGAAAAAATGAATTTATGGAACAAATATAAATATATAAAAATATTTTTAACATACTTTTAAAAGGTATATCTTAGAAAACATTATTGCCCCCATCACCACCCCCTACCCCCACACACATCCCATCCCTGTGAACAGAGCATCAAATGTGTTCTGTTTCTTTATTTTTTGTTTTGGTTTTTGTTGTTGTTGTTGTTTTTCGAGACAGGGTTTCTCTGTGTAGTCCTGGCTGTCCTGGGACTCACTCTGTAGGTCAGGCTGGCCTCGAACTCAGAAATCCGCCTGCCTCTGCCTCCCAAGTGCTGGGATTAAAGGCATGCGCCACCACTGCCCGGCTTGTATCTTATTTTTTAAGTCATAATAAACTTAAATATTTTAATGATTAGCATGTCGTAGTCACCTGCAGGTTTCCCAGTCTGTTTACACACCCCTCTGCCCAGAGCTCTGCTCTTTTTGTTTTAATGGCTCCCTGGCACTTTCCACATTAGTACGTGTACAGGGACAGCCCTTAACTAAAAAAAATTTTAAAACGCTAATTACTGATCACTTCAGGAACACAACTGTTAGAAACTCAACAAAAGGCTAACTAAGGTGCTTATTTAACATCTCAAAGTGGGCCTGGCTGCCAGGTTCTGGTTGGTTATATTCTGTCCCCTACCCTAAACGTCTCCAGCCCAGGGCTTGGGCTGCCCTTCCCCTAGATGCCCTTCTCCATAAAATCCAACCAGTTTGGTTACCTGCCCCCCTTTCTCTACCCTTTACACTCCTGGTTCTCCTCTCTCCTCCACTTCTCCCACGTGGCCAGGCTCAAGGTCAGGTTCAGTCAGTTCTCTGGACTCTCCCAGATGTCTCTGCCTCTGGCTATGCTCTCCCTTTTCTGCCTAGCTCTCCTCAAATTTACCAAGGGACAACCATGTGTGTTCTCTCTCTCTCTCTCTCTCTCTCTCTCTCTCTCTCTCTCTCTCTCTCCCTCCCTCCCTCCCTCCCTCCCTCCCTCCCTCCCTCCCCCCTCCCTCCCTCCCTCCCTCCCTCTCTCTCTCTCTCTCTCCTGGTTCCCAGCATAGTGCCTTGTACATGTTATATATCCATCCAACAAACTTTCTCAAGATAACACAAAGGACCAGTAACTGTCAAGTGCAACAGTCTTTCAAAAAGTTGAGAACTAAAACACTGCCTGTTTCAAATATCTTAGTATCCTATAGTCTAGTTTGACGTTCATACCCCCACGGTTTACATTTCCACTCTAGGGCCTTTTAATGTACTCTAATCCAAAACAAAAACTGTAGCCCCAGGGTGGTGGTGCATGCCTTTAATCCCATTGCTCCATCACTCTGGGCAAGGCCACCTTGGTCAACATGAGTTCCAAGGCCAGTGAGGGCTACATAGTGAAACTTTGTCTCAAAAATAAATAAATAAATAAATAAATAAATAAATAAATGAATAAATAGAGAAACAAAAACAAAACTGGAAATTTAGCTGTTAAGTGTATGGACTCTGAAAGCATAGCTCCCTATGCCCTGTGAATAATTCCTTAAAACAACCCTAGAGAACTTGAGATCCCGGGTAGTTAATAAAAATCTAAGCCAGTCAGGCGGTCAAGAACTTCTCACAGGTCTTCGAAGGACAAAGGAGTCATTAGCATTCTTAAGGACAACTGCGTAATGAAACTGTAAATCGTAGGAGCAGAAAGAGCAACGTAATTCTGCAGTGGAAAATGGCTAAGGCGCACCCTAGTTCCTGCTTGGGAGACAAGGTTACGGCAGGCCACAGCAAGGAGACAGGGGCGTGGTGATGCAAAGGCGGGACCCGGGGAGAGGGCAAGCCTAGAGGAGCCAGGCGGGGGCCGCCATACGAGGGGCGTGGTCAGGGAGGGCCCGGACGAGGCTGGCGGCAATGGGGAGGAGGCGTGGCAACGGCGGCAGGAAAGGGCAGGTCTGCGCGCCGGCCCACGCTCGCTCCCGAGACGACTCGGAGTCGGGCCCGCGCGGGAGCGACATGCGTGCGCGCACGGGTCTGTGACCCGCTCGGGGATGGACAGCGGCTCCGTGGCGGCCGAGCGGCCGAAGCGCGCACCGGCTCGCCAGCGGCTCCTATCCTCCGGCTGCGGAGTTCCGGCGCGCCCCGGCGTCTCCACGCTGCCCGGCGGGCGAAGCTGGCTGAGGCCGCTGCTGCTCCTCCTGCTCGTGCCCTCCCCGCGCCTGGCCGCCACCGCCCCGCGTAGGACGCTGGCTGAGCGCTCGCGCCCGGGGCTCGCCATCCCCGCGGCCGCGCTCGGCGCCGGCAGGAACGCGCTGGGCCGTCTGCGGCTAGGCGCCCGGCGTGTGGCTGCGCTCGCGAACAGCCGGAGAGGTGAGGCGGGAGGGAGGGAGGGATGGCGGGTCACACAAGTGACCCGGCTGTGGCCACGCCACCGGGGTGAGGGTTCGGAGCGCAGAGCCCGAGTGGCCTGGCACTGGATGAAACGCATACTAGGGGTTGCCCTTGCACACATGTTGGAGCCAGGGAAAAGTGGAAAGAGTGCTGGAAGCCAGTGTCCGGGCATTCGGGTCGGAGGGGCGCAGATCTGGGAATGGAAGGATGTCATTTCGCTTTGATTCGAAACTATTGATTTATTCATGGCCATTGTCTCCCCTTCTCTGCCTGGCACTTTACTAGCTGTTTGGGGTAATTCGTTCAACAAAATCTTTTCTTTCCGGAGCTTACTTCACGCAAGACATGCAGCATGTGTTTTGTATATATGCATAAGCACTTATCCATATTAACTTTACATGTACTAATTTGAGAAATACTATAAAGAAAAAATAGAGGCTTTACATTTAGGACTTGAAGAACTCTGTGCGTTTAAATTGAGTGACCAGAGTAGGAATCTTTGATGTGTCATGTAGATAATTGAAGGTGGTGAGGGACACTACTGAACTGCATGAGTCGAAGTAAACTAGCTGGAATGGCTCACAGTAAATAGCAGATAAAATCTTATCGTACAGGCTAATCAGCAGACGTGGCATAATTACTTCTTGGATAACCTGTTTCTGTCCATTAGTAGTCATATGCACCCACGCTTTAGTTTTCCGTAATTTTTTCTATGAGAATTACTTGCATCTAAAATTTAAGAATACTTATGGCTAGGGGAGAAACTCCTAATAGTTCTGAGAAATGAAGGATGCTTTATATGAAGACAGCAGTGAGCTTTATGCCCGTGTTTTGTAGGACTGGGAGTTGGAGATCCATCTGGCTTCTTATTTAAATACCTTGACTTCCTGTGTACTATTTTGATTTGTTCTGCTTTGAGACCAGGTGAGAACTGTGTAGCCTGAGCTGGCCTCGAACTCACAGAGATCCCTTGTGCCACCTAAGTGATGGGATTAAAGGCTAGGCTACCACACCCCTGCTAGCTGTACTTTTGATAAACTGTTGTCTGCCAATGTGTTTGCTCATAATTTATGGGGTTTTTTTTTTGGGAGGGGGTGTTCTTTCTCATTGTGTTAGCAAGATAGTGCCATTATAGTGTTATCCTTTGTACATGAGGATAGCTGGGTTTTTAAAAGGGAAAACAGCAGAAACAGTGGGAAGCTTTCATGCCACTTTTTAAAACCATCAGCATTTTGCTCCTTTATTCTTGGCCCGGGGTTGTTAGTTCAGTTTTGTGCCTGAGGTCCTCAGTGGACAGATCTACTTCAGAATGGTTGTGCCTTGAAATTTTGCAGTTGGTTTCACATCTATACAAGGGTATCTTTGAACTTCTTTTCAATTGTGGACTTTAACATCCTTTGGCTATGACAAAGGTCTCCAGAAAGGAGAATTGCACCTTACATTGTAATACTCCTCAAGTTAATGTCTTCCTGCTGTGATTCTTGGGAATTCAAAACTACTGGTTCCTCACTGTTGTCTTGGCAGAACAAGATGGCATTCGTTCCTTTCCCACTGCGGGTGGAACGCCCATTGGGAGGTAGCCAGCCCTTTTCCTTACTTGTTAGAAGCCAGCTTTCTTGAAACAAGCTTGCTATTTCTAGTTCCAGTTGTTTCTGGAAAAAGGAAGAAAAAAATGTCAGTGTACAAACCATTGCTAGCAGTGGTGTTGTGTGAGTCTGGGGACCTAACTCGGTGAGTAAAATACTCAAGCAGGAGGACCAGAGTTGAGGTCCCCAAAACCCGCATAAGTACTAGGCTTGCGTAGTGACCTGACTGTCATTTCAGCGCTCAGAGGGTACAGTTGTAGGCAATCTTTAGCCATATCCAAGAGTTCTGGGTTCAATCAAGAAACGTTACCTGGGTGATAAGGTACAGATTGATCAAGAAAGATGCTAGACATCAATCTGAGGCGTCTACAGGCAAGCACACATATGGTACATATGTACCTGAACAGTGTGTGTTCACACATGTGAACGACCGTGTGGATGCTGGGAATTGAATCAGGATCCTCTGAAAGAGCAGCTGGTGCTGTTAATTGCCGGAGCTTCTCTCCATCCCCTGTTATGATTCTGTCTTAGTTAGGGTTTTGCTGCTGTGAACAGACACCATGACCAAGGCAACTCTTATAAGGACAACGTTTAATTGGGGCTGGCTTACAGGTTCAGAGGTTCAGTCCTTTATCATCAAAATGGGAACATGGCAGCATCCAGACAAGCATGGTGCAGGAGGAGCTGAGAGTGCTACATCTTCATCTGAAGGCTGCTAGCAGAATACTGGCTTAAAACCCACCCCCATAGTGACACACCTACTCCAACCGGGCCACACCCTCTAATAGCACCCCTCCCTCGACCAAGCATATTCAAACCATGACAGCTTGCTTTCGTTCTGCTGTGTAGATACTGTAGAGTGTGGATGATGTTAAGGTTGTAAGTCCCAGGAGTCTCTGTCTCATTAGAAACAAGGAAATGGGGGCTACAATGACCCTGCTATTCATTCTAGACCAGCATTTCTCAACCTGCGGCTCGCAACCCCTCTGGTGGACGAATGACCTATGTGACGGGTCACATGTCAGCTGTCCTGCACGGCAGCTGGTTACATTATGATTCCTAACAGTAGCAAAATTAGTTATCAAGTAGCAACGAAATCACTTTATGGCTGGGGTCAGCACAGCATGAGGAACTGTATTAAAGGGCCACAGCATTAGGAAGGTTGAGAACCACAGTTCTAGACTCGGGATTTCAAGCACCCCCGCCAGTGGAGTAGTCCGGCCGAGGGCTAAGATGATTGATGTTACCTAGGACGACCCCTTGAGGTGCACTTTGATTTATGCAACATTTTTTTTTAATTCCATATGCTTTGTGTTAGACAGGTTTTAGGGGTGGGGGTGGGGGGGTCTCCTCATAATGTAGACCAGGCTGGCCTCAAACTCCCAATGTTGCCAGGGATGACATCCAATTCCTGCACTTCCTGCTTCTTCCTGAATGCTGGGATTTCAGGTGTATACCACTACTTTTGGTTCTATATGGTGTTGAGCATTGAATCCAGGGACTCGTGTGCACTCAGCAAGCACTCTATTGACTAAGCCTCATCCCCGGCCCTAGACAGTCTTCCTGTAATCCTACAAAGCTGCCTCTAGTCCTGGACTAGATGTGAATGGTCATGGGAAAGGCCCAGGGTGAAGTGAGTTCACTCACATGAGCAGGTTACTAAAGAGGGTCATAATCTAGGTCCTAGATGTTGTTACAGCTTGGTTACAAAATATACAATTATTCCTGGCTTGCCGTGTGGAAGGCCTTCTGAAAATGCTCAAACGGGGCTAAAAAGGAAAGCAGCCAGTGTGACTGGAGGGAAGAACTCTGCAGTTCAGGAGCAGAAAGACCAAAGCCCAATTAAAATCAATGAAAAGGCTGCCTTAAGAGTTAGGAGTGTTGGGCAGTGGTGGCGCACGCCTTTAATCCCAGCACTTGGGAGAGGCAGAGGCAGGCAGATTTCTGAGTTGGAGGCCAGCCTGAATTACAGAGTGAGTTCCAGGACAGCCAGGGCTGCATAGAGAAACCCTATCTCGAAAAAAAAAAAAAATTAGGAGCAAGCTGGGCCTTTAATCCCAGCACTTGGAAGGCAAAGGCAGGCAGATCTCTGTGAGTTTGAAACTAGCCTGTTCTACAAATCGAGTTCCAGGACAGCCAGAGCTGTTACACAGAGAAACCCTGACTTGGGGGGGGCAGGGGAAAGACTTGCTGCTCTTCTAGAGAATGTGAGTTTAGTTCCTAACACCCACATGGCATGGCTTGCTGAGTTTGTTTGTTTTTGAGACAGGGTCTCTATGTAGCTCTGGCTGTCATAAAACACTCTGTATACCAGGCTTTGAGCTTACAGAAATCCAACTGCCTCAGCCTTACATTTGCTAGGATTAAAGGTATGTACCACCACACCTGGCAATATTACTCAGACTGTGAGTTTGAGGCCAGTATAAATATTTTTTTGTTTGTTTGTTTGTTTGTTTTTGTTTTTCAAGACAGGGTTTCTCTGTCTAGTCCTGACTGCCCTGGAATTCACTCTGTAGACCAGTCTGGCCTTGAACTCAGAAATCTGCCTGCTTCTGCCCCTCAAGTGCTGGGATTAAAGGTGTGTGCCACCACTGCCCAGTTAAATATTTTTTTAAGTAGACAAAATAGACATCCCTTCAAAGAAGATACCCATACATCCAGTAAGCACAGGAGAAGATGCGTAACATCCTTTGGGAAGTGCAGGTGAAAGCCACAAGGTACTGTTTGTACCTAGTAGGATGGAGAATAATTTATAAAGCAAACGTTGTAACAAGTGTTAGCAAGGACGTGGAGAAATTGGGAGCCTCCTTGGCTGCTGGTAAGCAAGAAAATTGGTGATGCCACTTGAGAAAGAATCTGGCCGTTCCTTAAAACAGCTACCATATGACCCTGCAGTTCTGCTCCCAGGGATATACTCAAGAGACCTGAAACAGTGGCCACAGGACCATTCAGGAGAGCCACAGAGTGTAATCAGCCCGCATCCTTCAGCTGGCAGGAGGATGAACACTGGTGAAGTTACATACAGAAATAAGTGCTGGCACATTCTGCCACGTGGATGGCTATTAACCGTCATGCTAAGGCCATGATGTACGACTCCATGCATATGAAATCTACAGCATACACAGACAGTAGGACCTAAATCTGTTTATAGTAATGGAGAGTGGGGAAGAGGGTGGGGGCGTGGCTCAAGCCTGTAATCATCTCAGGACATGGGAGACTGGTGAGGCAGAAGTATCGCTGAGTTTGAGGCCGGTTTGTTCCAGGTATTTCTGGCCTGCAGAGCGAGACCCTGTTTGAGACAGTTGGTGTACTGGCTGAAGGGTACAGTTTCTGCTTAGGATGGAGAAAGCTGACCGGGAAACAACTGAATTTCATACACTCACTGGGTTACATCCTATGTGTGCTTCTGGCACTGTACTAACAGGATAGGCTTGTGCGGTGATGAAACATAACCTGTAGCATCAAATGGCTTTTGCTTACTGCTAAGTCTGATCTTGCCTTCCTTTCTTTTCCCTTCTAGAGCTAAGCCTGTCTGCTAGGTGCCATCAGCTGGAGCACAGAAAAGGGAACTTGCCCCCCTCCGTGAGTCGGCAGCTCTACTTTGACACCCACGCTCTGGTGTGCTTACTTGAAGCAAATGGTAAGTCCCCAGCCTCCACCTACCACACCCCCCAATGTTGGATCAGTGCAGCTGACCGAAGTATTTCCCGTGCTAACTTTGAGTGTTTCTCCTTTTGTTAAGCCTTTGGTTGGGGAAGCTTTTGGCTGGGGTTCTGTTGCTGTGGTAACTACACTAAACTAAGTAGGGGGAGGAGAGGGTTTATTCGGTTTATACATACGGTCCATCATTGAGGGAAGTCGTGTCAGGAACTCTGTAGGAACTGAACTTGAGACTAGAAGAATGCTACCTATCGGCTTGCCCCCGCTGGCTTGCCCCTGCCAGCTTGATCAGCCTGTTTTCTTAAATAGCCCAGGCTCACTTGCCTAGGGATGACACTGTCCATAGAGAGCCTGGCCCTCTTAGATCAATTAGCAGTTTAAAAAATGCCCCCACAGACATGAGGATGGGTCATGGAAGCGGTTCTTAAGGGTTGCTTCCTCTGCCCAGGTGTATGGAGTTGACAGCCAAAGCCAACCAACAAAAGACTCTTTGTTTTTTTTTGTTTTTTGTTTGTTTGTTTGTTTTTTGTTTTTTGTTTTTTGGGTTTTTTTTTTTTTTTTCGAGACAGGGTTTCTCTGTGTAGCCCTGGCTGTTCTGGAACTCACTCTGTAGACCAGGCTGGCCTCGAACTCAGAAATCCACCTGCCTCTGCCTCCCAAGTGCTGGGATTAAAGGCGTGCGCCACCACCGCCCAGCAAAAGCCTCTTTGTTAAGGAGAAAGACATTTATGTATTCTAGACTGGCCTCAGACTTCTGTATAGCTGAGGGTAACCCTGAACTTGTGATCCTCCTTCCTCTACTTGGGATTCCAGACATGTACCACCATACACAGTTTATGCAATGCTAGGGAATGGAGCATAATGCATGCTGGGTAAGCACTGTCTTAGTCAGGGTTTGTATTCCTGCACAAACATCATGACCAAGAAGCAAGTTGGGGAGGAAAGGGTCTATTCAGCTTACACTTCCACATTACTGTCCATCACCAAAGGAAGTCAGGACAGGAACTCACACAGGGCAGTATCTTGGAGGCAGGAGCTGATGCAGGGGCCATGGAGGGGTGCTACTTTCTGGTTTGCTTCCCCTGGCTTGCTCAGCTTGCTTTTTTATAGAACCCAGGACTACCAGCCCCAGGATGGCACCAGCCACAATGGGCCCTCCCTCCTTGATCACTAATTGAGAAAATGCCTTACAGCTGCATCTCATGGAGGCATTTCCTCAAGGGAGGCTCCTTTCTCTGTGATAACTCCAGCTTGTGTCAAGTTGACACAAAACCAGCTAGTACAAGCACCTACAAATTTAACTGCTATCCTCACCCTGTTTAAGGATGATTTTTGCTTTATCAATACAATGGAGACTTTTTAAAATAGTTTTTCTCTGTTGAAAAGACAGTACATTTTTGCTTGTTTTCGGATTTGTTGGTGGTTTGGGTTGGTGGTTTGGGGGTTTTGTTTTATGTATGTTAACTGTGGTTGTGAAGAGGTTCTTCCTGCATTCATGTGGTTCTAGGGATAGAATTCATATCTTCAGTCTTAACACCAAGCACCTTTATTCTCTGAGCCATCTCATCTGTCCTGTTTTGGGTTCTGGTTTGTTTTCTGTGTTTGTTTCTTTTCTTTCTTTAATTTTTAAGATTTGTTTTATTTTTATTTATGTGGGTGGGGAGGGTGCCCTCAGAAGCCAGAATAGGGCATGAGATCCCCTGGAACTGGAGTTGCAGTAGTTGTAAGCTGCTCTAAAAGGTTGCTGGAAACCAATCTCAGGTCCTCTGGAAGAGCAGCAGGTTCTCATACCCACGGACAGAAAGCTAAGCAGCATGGGACCTGACTTCAGATCCCTAGCACCCGTGTAGAGTGCCAGGCATAGTGATGACCCCATAATCCCAGCATCAGGAGGGGAGACAGAAGAGCTCGCTGGCAGCCCTCTGCCTGTGTAAGCAAGCTGCAGGGTCAGTGAGAGTCTCTACCTCGGAAAAATAAGGTGGAGAGTGATTGAGGATGACCCTCAGCTATCAGCCCCTGGCCTCTGTATACACATGTGCACATGCATAGGATATGATCTTATAACTAATATTCAGAAAAATGTGCTGATTACAATTCTCTATTGTATCCCACATTATGTTCTCCATACCAGGCTTTGAATTAACATAGATCATTTAAAATAAATACATCTGTGTTTACTTCACTGAGTTTATTTACCCAGTTGGACACATTCATGTTTGAAATGGCTTCCCACCATAGGTGAGCTGCAGTGGTCACTGCCTGTCTCGGGCAGGCAGACACCCTGGGTCGCTGTGTAGCTGTAGGAGTCCAGCCCTCCTCAAGCTTCTGTGGTACATCCGTACCACAGACATAAACAGAATCCCAAAGATCCTTTGGGTATCACATGAAGTAAGGTAGATAGTATGTAGTGATAATTTTTGAGAATTCTGGAATTTTAGTTTCTTTTTAAAACACAGAAGATTGTGCTCTCATTTTAATCCCAGGTGTGGGATACGGGGCTGCTTTAGCCGGAACAGCTGACTGTGATTTGCCTCATGCTCTAGCAGAAGCATGGTTTTGCCAGCCTTAGATAATTTCTGCATTTGTGTGACATTTGGAATTCTGGGAACTTTTCAGAGGGTATATAAATGTTAGGGCCCCAATAGGTGGTATTGGTAGGTTGTTGTTGGTTTGGGGGGTGGGGGGGAGGGTTGGTGGTGGTTTGTTAGTAGCCATGGCCAAAGAAGAAACAAACAAAAAAAAGAAACTAGATTCAGGGATTTTCCTAATTCCTCTCTCCTCTCTATCCTTGTTTCTCTTCTATCTCGTATTAGAGGCTGAAACCGGGGGAGGGGGATAAAGGGTGGGGAAAAAAAGAACCCACAAAGTAGCCAAAATCAGCTACAATAGTAGGCTTTGGACAAATGGTCAGATGCTATGTCTGTAACAGTCTGTTCAGCTTTTCTCATCGAATGAAACAGCAAGCCTTTCCACCAAAATGTCTTTTTCAGCCTAGAATTTAAGAGGAAAGTAGAGATGAGAAGGGGGGTGTGCAGAGTTGTGTTGCTAAGCAGAAATGCTCCTACTTTTCTTGATTTGAAGCCTGAGGACAGCGTTAGAGATCGCTGATGAACCCAGCCACTGACACACATGCAGGTGTTTCTGTTGCAAGTAGCTTTATGCTACCTCAATTTAGTCCCAGGAATGGGCCACGATAACAACCCCCACCCTGCTTCCCTTGGATACACAGATAAAAGACACGTACACACTTGTTCCTTTTCAGTTTGCCTTTGGACACAATTGCTGGGCACTACTGTCTCCTGCCTGGAAAAGCACACCCCTAACAATATTCTTACCTCTGTACCTCCCACCTGCCCTAAACTCTAAATGTTTTTGTTTCTTTTTAAAATATATATATTTATTTATTATTCAGACACACCAGAAGAGGGCATCAGATCCCATTATAGATGCTTGTGAGCCAACCTTGTGGTTGCTGGGAATTGAACTCAGGTCCTCCGAAAGAGCAGTCAGTGCTCTTAACCACTGAGCTATCTCTCTAGCCCTGCCCTAAACTTTAGTTGTTTAGTGACATCTAGTCCCTGCTAAACATCTCTGACTACCTGCCTGTAGGAGCCACCACACCACCATACCACCCCATCACCACCTCACATGGCTGCTTTGTTCTTCTCTCTCCAAAGCATGAACACTCCTCTCCTCCAGGGACCCGGAAGTTCTGCCTATTCCTTCCGCCCACCAGTTGGCCCATGGATTTTTTACTGACAGATCAAGAACCAATTGAGGAACAAGACCTTAGCATCAGAACCACCCCTATATGTTTCCTCCCTGTCAAGGTGTCAGACCTGTTGCAGCCTGGAGGTCTGGTCTTAGCCTCCCACTAGGCCATGCTTTCTTCTTTCTTCAGAGTTCAGACCTTTTCAGGAGCATGGTGTTTCCTGTGTCTTTCTCTGTTTTTCCTTCTGAGTCTGGTTGTTTCTGTGTGCTCGCCTAGGGTTTACCATTCAACAAGCAGAAATCATTGTGTCTACACTGGTCAAGATTACAGAGACCAACATGGACATCGTCTACAAAGACATGGTCAGCAAGATGCAGCAGGTAACATGGGTGGGGCAGTGGGGCGGGAATCTGAGAGGAGGGTATTAGCTGAAGTAAATACTCGAGATGCCTTTTAGATGACAATCTACTGAAAAGTATATGGTCATTTTAACCATAGTTCAGAGGTAAAAAATGACAATAAAAGTATTTCATCAAAGCCATTTAGTTAGTCATTGTGGCTTATGCTTGAATGTTGACTGTGTCAACACTGAGTGTTCCAGGCAAGCTCACATTAATGACTGGAAGTGTGGACAGGACTGTAGGTGACAGCATCCTGTCCCAACTACAGTCTCCCTCCCACTAAAGCTGTGGCTCACCTGCCTTTGCTGCAGTGTTCCCCTTACCTTCTCACTTCGGAGCAGAGGTGACCTTCCCAGTCTCACTCTTCTAGTTTCTTTTTACCCCTGTTAGCGGGTAGAGATGAAAAGAATCGGGTTTGGGGGTCAGACTGAATTCCATGTACCGTTTTTTTTCCTCTTTTTCTAGGAAATTGCTCTTCAGCAAATACTATCTAAGATTGCTAACGTGAAGAAAGATATGATCATCTTAGAGAAGAGTGAGTTTTCAGCCCTCCGAGCAGAAAATGAGGTAAAACTGTGCAGCCGAGCCGTGCATAGCATTCTTTGTTAAGACATTGAGCCACACACACCTAGAAGGGCACAAGAGAAGAACTCACAGCGACTGTTCAGAGAGTGTACTGCTGAGCTCATCAAGATGAGAACATCCCTAGCCCTGGAAATCCTGCCCAGGCTCCTTCTAGTTCCTCCTCTCAAGAGGAAATCACGGCCCTGGCCGATTAAATCCCCACTGAGCTAATTCTGCCCATTCTAGACCTCTGTTTGACAGATGGCTTGCAATAGCAGAACTTCTGTTTTCATTGTCTGTGATGCTGTAGTACTGTGTACATCATCCGAATGTGTGGAAAGTAGGACTTCCCAGTCTGCGGTACTAGGAATAGGTAGTTCTACAAAATGCCCCCTTTCCTACCAAAAGCAAATAGATAAATAAGTAAACATTATTTCCTTTTAAGCTTATGTTTATGAATGTTTTCCCTGCGTGTGTGTCTGTGCACCACTTGCATGCCCTGCCCACAGTGGCCAGAAAAAAGTGTCAGGTGCGCTGGAATTGGAGTTACAGATGGTTGTAAACTGCTGTGTGGGTGCTGGGAACCAAACCCTGGTCCTCCATAAGAGCCACAAGTGCTCTTAACCACTATGCCATCTCTCCAGCCCCATTTATTGTATATATGTGCAATGTGTGTGTGTGCGTGTGTGTGTGTGTATGAGCATGTGTGTTTTGTTTGTGCACGTGTGTGCATACGTGTGGGTGTGCATTCATGTGTGTGCACGTGTGGGCCCCACATTATTCTTGTAGAGCTCAGAGGGATGACTTTGTGGAGCTGGGTTTCTCCTCCCACCTGTCTATGGGTTTTGGAGATTGAATTCTGGCTGTCAGGCTTGTAAGACCAGTGCTTTACCCACCGAGCAATCCCACCTGCCCACTCTCTGTCTCTTTAAAGTGTAGTGTATGACTTAGGGAAGCGCTGTCTTTGCACCTTGCTTTCATGTTTAGTCTTAGTGAAGTCCAACGGAAGAGTCATTTGTTGCCTCCTGAACTTACAGGTGTCCTTGAACTCTGCTCACAGAGGGTAGAATTGACAGAAACAAAAAGCAGAAGAGGAATTAAAAGGAAGACAGGGTTCCTGACTAGGGATGTGTGCGTGTCACAAACAGTTGTTCTTCATTGGATGTGACCCCTAAGACGAAGTCAAACTGCTCTCCCAGTCTGCACATACATTATGCGACAACTGTAAACAGGGTTTTTGTTTGTTTAGTTGGTTGGTTTTGTTTTTAGTTTTTTGAGACAAAGTCTTATTTTATATAGCCTTAGCTAGTATTCAATTCACTTTAGCTTAGGCTAGCCTCAAATTCATTGCACAGTCCTCCTGCTTCAATGTCCCCAGAGCCAAGAGTGCAGGCTGCACCACCCACCCAGCTCAGGTAGTTCCATGTTCTGAGTATAGTCGAGTTGTGGTAAGTGAGGGTGTTGGTGAGCTTGGGCTTAAGTGTTTACTATGATGTGTGTTTTGTCGTTTTCCTCTGTCACATGTTCTTGACTTTCCTTCTTTTTACTTTGTTTTTAGAAAATAAAACTTGAACTGCACCAGTTAAAGCAACAAGTGATGGTAAGTTCCCTTTCCTGTCCTCGGGCAAATATGAAAGTATATCTATTTCTTAATAGATTAAGGTCATAGATACAATATAGGTGCTAGAAAACTCAGTTCTGTGTGGAATGTGCATAACGCACTTCCAACGCACACATCAGGTGACGTTTTGATGACCCGTGTCTGTGGCCACATTCGCGAAGAAAACTGCATTGTGGGAATATTTTTCTTTCCTAAGATACGGTCTTCCCTGTGTACAACTCAAGCTCTCCAGCGACCTCTGTTTCCTGCCTGTGGGAGCTTACAGACCTCTGCCACCAAGCCTGCTAAGTCATTGTAAACCAGAACTCCTCTAAAGTGGCCGTGGGTATCCCTGAGCCCCGTCTAGAAGAGGGTAGCCCTGTAGGATTCTGTGTGGGTTAGATGGTTGCCAGTCTAGCAGTTGGTTACTTTATAAAGCAGAAAGAACGGCGGTGTTAGAAAAGATCTAGATGAGTCTTAGTGAGATACCTTAGCAGCAGTTGACTGTTGGTCCATCTTTACTTTCAAAATGTTCCAGATAATTTTATTCACACATTCCATGAGGAGGTCATAAGCAGTTGAGCCCTACCATGCTGACATTTGGGTCAAAGGGGACTGTCTATGCAGATAACTGGGAGGGCTAGACACAGAGCTGATGTGAGACGTGGTTGGCCCTGAGTCCCAGGATACCAGGAGGCCTGGCTCCATGCCTCTGCCCAGCTCCCATGGGAGAAGCAGCGGGCAGGCCAGGCTTAAGACTCAGAAGACTCAGATTTCTTGCCATGGCTTCTTATTCTCTTTGTCCTCCGCCCTCTGACCAGGATGAAGTGACCAAAGTCCGGACAGATACCAAATTAAACTTCAATCTAGAAAAAAGCAGAGCAAAAGAATTGGTATGTTTCTTTATTAAAGTAAATCATTAATTGATTTCTTTTTACAATGGAATGCTTGTTGAAGTCTTAATCTTACACACAAAACACAAATATCATTAGACACTTGTCCATTTATAAGAGTTGATTTTAAATTTTAATTACATTTTAGATCAGGACTTAAATTTGGTTTCAAAAGTAACATTTAAATTAAAAAGTCAGACTAAATTTGAATCTTTTATTTCAGAAATAATATATGATATGTTACATAGACGTTAATAAGACAGTTTCACTTAATCTATTTAATACAGATTTAATCCCCACTGCCCCTAACTTTTCAAAAGTTAGCTGATTTTCTGACTTAGGTAATATTATCATCATATTAAATTCTACATTGAACTTTGATAAAGCACATTTCTATATTATCTTTTAAATTCTATGAGTAGTTGTGTATTTCAATGGATATATGTTGGGTTGTTCTGGTGGGGGTTTTGTTTGTTTTTGTTTTGCTTTGCTTTTTAGCAGTTCTGAGACTCAGACTCCAGGCTTCACACTTTCTACTGTGATACCACTGACACAGAATTTTCACCCACCTCCCCCCAAACACATACACTTTCCCTGGGCTACCATACCCCCCCCAGTCTCTGTTGACTTTTATTCCTGGCCAAGTTCTCCCATCCTCTTGTTCAGGCCATCTTTTGCTTGAGTAACATTAGAGGTACCTTTGTTACTTGTAGCATAAGCAGGCAAGGGCGTGTGGCACGGTGGCACCAGCAGGAAGCGGCTCCCATGCAGAGGAGGCCACACAGCTCTTCCTGCTCTGGTCATTGCTGAGTTTGTCTTCAGTCACTGTGTCCTAGTGATGACTGAAGCTAGATCTCAGACAAGTGTGTGGCCATAGCTGAACTGCCATTGGATTTCAGTGGTGACGTTGAGCTTTGTTACTCAAAGTAATTGCTGAGTCTATTGGCTGTCTTTAATATCTTACGATACTGTTGGGTCACAAATCACCCAGCAGTCATGTACTAACACAAATGAGGGATTTGACTTCTTTATCTTTTTGGTAAATTAGGACTAAGGTTGTAACTCAGTGGCAGAGCACTTACTGGGCATGTACAAAGCTCTGGGCCTGATACTCAACACAGCCAACAAAAAATTGGCTGTGGTGATATTTACAGCCAATTTTCACAGCTGTTCCAGAATTCCAGGAGACAGAGTCACAGACATGTCATTTTTCAGTCGTGACAGTGTGGAGATGTAGCCCTTTCTTTTGCCTGTGTATTTGTTAATGCTGTGAGCGGAAAGGTGTACAGAACATCCAGCTGACTCTGCCCTCTGCTGGTGATCTGAGGAATAGTACTAATCCGTAACCCAGCTTATGTAATCAGCTAGGGGCCTTAGTCACGGGCTGGTCCTTAGTTCAGGGTTCCTAAGTTTGGGGGCATGTTTTTACTTCTGACCACTGCATTTTTACATTTACTGCCCCAGTAGTTTGAAGACAACATTTTATAGGTATAAATCTTTAGTTACTTTAAGGGCATTAACATTTTTCCTGATAACATTGTTGTCTTTAAACTACAGGTTGTACAGGTTGCCATTTGCTAAGTTAAATACTAATACTCATTATTATGGAAACATATCTAGTTTTTATTTTATTGTCAACAGAGCTGTACTAAATCTTTTTACTAGCATTAGTAGCTAGCAGCCTTCAGGAGCACTGGGCTGCAGTTTCCCATGGCAGGGTTCTTTCGATTGTTGTTAAGACAGTCTGGGATGCTTTGCTGTAACTCGTGTATCAGTGTTATGCTTTACAAGATAATACATCTTGTTACAGAATCATATTTCTTGAGCCATTTTTTCCCAATATTATATTGCTTCTATAATTCCTGGTAATGTGTGTCATGCTTATAGTTATGGGAGTGTCATTCCTAAATTAAATGGTGCCCCTCACCTTTATCAGCCCTCCCAAACCCAATTGATCAACACCCATATAAATGGAACCCAAAGAAATGCTCTTCTAATAGTGGGCGGGTCCCAGTGACATCATAGCCAAGAGATTTAAAAAAAAAAAAAAACAAGAAAGAGCAAAGAGAAGTGGACACCGGCCACACATCATCAATGCCTTGCTTTCTTTCTGGTGCTGTGAGAAACACTGTGCCCAAAAGCAGCCTGGGGAGGAAAGGGTTTACTTCAGTTTACAGTCATCATCAGAAGAAGTCAGGGCAGAGACGTGGAAGCAGGAGCTGATGCAGAGGCCATGGAGGGGTGCTGCTTACTGGCTTGCTCCCCAAGGCTTGTTAAGCCTGCTTTCTTAGAGATCGCAACCATCAACACGGTGAACTGGGCCTTCCACATCAATCATGAAAATGCCCCCCAGGCCAGCCTGGTGAGCCATTCTCCCAACTAAGGATCCAGCTTCCCAAATGACTCCCAGTTGATATTAAACCAGCCACACAGTCAGTGAGTATAAGAGACCTCAATTACAAAGAAAGAGCAGGCGGGCTACAGTGATGCCAGATGACAGTCTCCTGTTAGATGTTCTAGGAAGCAGTGAGGACTGAATGTTTAAGGAACCGGAGAGACAGTGGCCGAGACTCTAATCCTGTGGCATGTTTGTTTCAGTACTCGTTGAATGAGAAGAAGATGCTGGAACTGAAGACAGAAATAGTGTCGCTGGTAAGGGCCGAGGTTGACTTTTCTGTTATTTTCATTTTTGTCTCTTCCCATGCATAGCTTTGGGGTAAACCGTTGTCTGACATGCCACAGGAGGATGTGTACATTTAGTTTGGGATTTTTTTCATTGGAGCAAAATATATGCATGAATTACTATTGTAACAATTTTATGTGCATAATTCAGTATCATGTTTTAAAGATTTGCTCTGTGTGTGTGTCTCTGTGTGTGTGTTTCTGTGTGTGTGTTTCTGTATATATTACACAGCTTAGCAGTAGAGTGTGTATGTAGCTTATGGGATGGGTGATACCCTTATTGTGTTGTCTGGGACCTGTGCTTCATCTGTAAGACAAGAGGACCATTCTCTGGAACGGCTTCATTTCCTTATTATTTACCCACATTGGTGTCCATAAGAAACTACTTGTGTTTGAATTTTTAGTAAAATGTTCTCAGTGTTTTACGCATCTGTATAACAGCTAGGGTCACTGCCCACTGAGGGTTAACTGGGCAGCCTGGAGTTGTCTTATGTTTGGAGAAGGGCATAAATCAGCCTCTGGTAGCTGTGCCTCGTGTTAACAAAATACTTGATGTTTGACCCGTGAGAGAAGACACTCTGGAAAGATATGACTAGAAATAGTATCAAGACAGCACTGTCACGGTCAGATCTAAGGCCGTGTTCATGTGTTGGCAGAACGTTTGAGTCCACTGTCCCCTGCAGGGGCTAGCCAGGGACCACACATCACTACCATCAAGAACAGTCTGGCCTCCTAGTGCCACAGCAGGTAAAGCAGTCTCTGGTTCTCAAAACTTTTTTCATGTATGTTATTGCCCTTGAGTCTCTCAATAGGTCTTATAGGTCAAGACCAGTGATGGGCTGTTGGTTTATCCCCTTTTCCCAAACAGAGCAAAACTGAGACAGGAGACATTAAGGGCCCTGGACAGTGCAATGTGGCCTGAGGACATCAGAGCCAAGACTAAGTCCCAAGTCCAGTTCTCAAGCCAGGACTGCTCCGCACTGAGAAAGACTCTGGATCAGAGCAACAGGGAACCCAGTGGCACCCACAGACTCTAATGTTCTCAACCTCTTTGCTTTAAAAGCATGCCCAGCAAGATAGAGCCCTGACCCAGACAGACAGGAAGATAGAAACCGAGGTGGCCGGCCTCAAGACTATGCTGGAAGCACACAAGCTTGACACGATCAAATACTTAGCAGGTAAGATGCGTCACATCGACATATTTCAAACAATTGAAAGCACATGGCCAGTGTCACAGAGCCCCCGGAGGCAGGCTGCACATGGCACTGGCTGACCATTTCTCCTGCTTTAACATATCTTGTCAGCACATCCTGCAGTTCCCAGTACATGGAGTACCTCCTTTAATTTACATTTTTCTTCCTTAGTAATAAAGATACCATTGTATTTTATACTTGATGGGTCCTTGACTTTGGTAAGATGCTGTCCTTTCTCTTGTGGTTTAGGGATTTCAGTGAAGTAGTACAGGAAATAGTTTATAAATAGAATGGAAAGCCCGTGGCCATTTTACTTCATTGGTGACACTTTGGGGGTGCCCATGTGTGCACCTGCAGAGGCCAGAGGATGACGTGGCTTCTTTGCTCTGTTTTTCTCTTAGTCCTTTGAGGCAGGGTCTCTCCAAATCCGGAGCAAGCCTGACGCCTGCAGTCCTGAATCTGCCCTCCTGACCCCCACCCATACACACATACACAGAGCTGGCATTGCTGGCTGGCACGGCTTCTCACACGGGTTCTGGGGATTCAGGCTCAGCTTGCAGTCACTGAGCCATCTCTCCAGCCACAGGGCAATCTTGTAAAGAGGTTATTTTTGATTTTATAATTTTTAAGCCAAAGAAGGAATACATTGGCATCAAAACAAAAACAATACCCACTATTTCAAGTCAGCTCTAACATTTCAGAACAATCAAATATTTTAAAGTTGTAGTGTGGTATTTAACAATGAAATTTTGTTCCTTATAGCATAGCACATATGTGTGCCCTTTGAGCCTACAGTCATGATTCTAACTTACATTGAAAGGTTTTCTTGACTACTGGACATGTTTGCAACCGGTTGCCGGGTGGAGACTTGTTCTTAATAAACAGTGTTTCGAGGACTTCAGCCCGTCAGTCAGTATGCTGTTTCCAGGTCCTGACTGGCCCAAGAAGGAAAGACCAGCATGCTTATTACTAAGTAGCCAGCATCCCTCTTCACTCAGCCCCTTAATTGGCTTCTGACACCTGGTACAGTATCAAAAGAAACTCCCTTCAGGGGCTAACAGTACTCTCGGTTGTTTTTTCTTACAGGGTCTGTGTTTACGTGCCTAACAGTAGCTCTGGGATTTTATCGCCTGTGGATATGATAAAGCGTCTATCGATTTAAAGAAACTCCCATTGTTTTGCCATAAGAGTACCAGATCGTTGTCCCTCCCACTCAACCCCCCCCCCTTTTTTTTTTCTTTTTTTTTTTTAATCGTAATTTGAATTCATGCATATTATTTCTGTGAAAACTGTGGATCCATAACCAAGGTGAAGAAAGTCTGGATTTCTGTAACCGTTCTTCAGAGCATCTCTCTTTAGTTGGCTTTTTTCGCTGAGCAGTGTGGATGGACCACACTTTCAAGACTCCTTTCAGCCAAACCAAGGGACTCAGTCTAACTTGCAGTATTTGACAAAAATAAATACTGGTACAATTCTCTACAGCTTTAAGTACTTTGTAATGTGGAGAATGTGGGAACGCATTTTGAAAAGAAGGGGGCTTTAAATCTGAAGAAATGATTGGAATCAACCCAGAATACCAGCCCTTCTGTGCCTTACCAACAGCCACTCCCCGGGCAGCCTTGTCCCGATGCAGCAGCTGCAGTGTTAATGATGCAGCGACTGTGGTACACCTTAGGGGCCTCTGTCTCTGGGTTTTCATTGTTTTAGTAACATTGTTAATGTGCCTTGCAGCTGGAAGTCTAGGTACCTAATGAAGCTTTGTGATTTTAGCACAAGTTTTCTTGTGCTGCCGTGCCTGGGTTTCTGGTTTTGAGACAAGGGCTTGTTATTTAGCCCAGGTTGGCTTTGAACTCACCTTCCCGCCTAAGCACCACCGTGCCCAGCCTCTACCTTACTGAATGCTAGCCTTCCCTCCCTCTCTTCCTCTTCCTTTCCTTCATGATGTGGAAGTTTAACACCACCATACCCGTGGCATTCATTACCTACCTAGAAAACTTGTAATTCTCGGAATGAACCCCTGCTTTGGTGTGTGGTTTAGAGTGAACTTCCTTCTGGTGTCCACCTGCTTTTTATAAAATGACATGCAGCACTTTGTTCCTGTGGGAGATCTAGACAGTGTGTACAGCTTTTAGAATGAGTACACCTTTCCCTGGGAGCAGCTCAGGTTGTCGCTTGCCCAGTGAGAGCGCCCCGGTGCTTGACGCTGGCCTCGTCCGCGTTGATTTCTTTTGTGGTAGAAGACACCCTCAGAGCCACCTCAGCTCCCCACTGGAAACAGAGAGGTCCTGGTGCAGCTGCAGTTATTTTGGAAAAGTGTATTCTCCTCTTGTTTAAATTGCTGGCACTTGAATGAGAGTGAGCATTTGGGAAGCAGTGACACTCAGGGACCCTTCCTGGCTTGCCCCACACAGGCACAAACGCACAAGCTGGTGCACAGTACAGAAACCACAAGAGACTGCACCATCGGATTGGTGGAATAAATCACCCCTTGTCACTGTTCCAACCACACTGCTAAAAATAAAAGCTACCTTTTGTTCTTTGGCTGTAATTTCCAAGTTTGAGAAACCATTAAGTTCTTGCCTCATTAGAAAACATTTGCGTAAAAAGATTCCGAGCCCCACATATTATGGAAATCAAGTGCTGTTGTATTAGAACAGCATCACGGTAAAATAGAAGTTTATCCTTTCCAAGTAGACAAAAAAAAAAGTCTTAACCACAGTTAACTGCTTGATGCCAGAGAAAGGGCTCAAAGCCCACATGCTCTTAATAAAGACCAACTCCTGGGAGGAAAAAGCATCGTGTGCAGTTATGTTTTACAATCTGGGCTAACCTGGGTAGGTTAAAAAGAGAGGATACATTTCCTCATGTCCTGATAAGTATTCTTTAAGGGACACATCCTTAATGTCTGTTTGAAGTGGTCTACACCGCTCTGGCCTCAGCGCACTGTGTCGGATTTTGCTCTAGCATTCTTTGTAGCACACTTGTCTTATTTGGCCTTAGAAACTGTTGTCACTGAGGGTATGGATGGTGTGCATATCTGAAGTTAGGAGAGTTCAGGACTCTGTCCTCGTGATTGCCTAATAAAGCTGAAAAGCATTGATCTGTAAATGTCTATGTCCCCCTGTCACTGCCTTAGACATACATGAACGGTGAGGATAGTGTGACCAGACACTGTACTGAACCTCACTGAAGCTGTGGAGGTCTTAGGAAATGCCTGGCAGGTTTCCAGGCAGCAGCCTTGAGTCTGGCCTGTGGGGACCTTAACAGTACCTCCAAGGAGTAAGAGTCCAGTGGGCGGGGCTTCAGTCCAGTGGGCGGGGCTTCCCTCACTGCCAACATTCCTGAAGGGTTTCTCTGCCTTCCTGCTGGGTGCTGTGTTTTTTGTCCCCTCTTTTTTTTTCTTGTGGTACTTGCTGGGGATCAAACCCACAGGCATGAGTGTTCTATCACCCTGCCTCAACTTCCCAGGTGCTGGATTACAAGTATGTCTCCCTCTGGCTTTTTTTTTTTTTTTTTAAAGCCTTAAGCCCAGTTTCACTCCTCTCCTGCATTCTTTTGCAAACCCCTCTGGGGCTCTTGAGACACTTGCTTTGATTTCTGTATTGCTTTTAGTCTCCTGGCTGCTTTTCTTGCTTAATATCTGGCCACACGATTTTCCCTTCAAGTATGCCAAGCACCTCAGTTAGAAAGTCACATTTAAGAAGTATGGCAGAAGTCTTGCTGGACTTCTTGCCTCTGAAGGCTTTAAGCACCAAGACTCTGAGAGCAGCAAGCCCAGGCCTAGGCGAGCCTGTCTTGTGCCTTGTTACCATCTTCCCTTCATTTTCCTTGTCCCTCCATCCCAAGCCTTTCTGCCTACTAATTAACCGTGTCAATACTTCAAGCACTGTGCTTCCCCAACCCTTGTGTGCTGTATACCAAGACTGTCAGAGCCTACCCTAGAAAACTTGGGACTTGAAAGTGATCAAAGTTGTTACAGCTTTTATGGCACAAAGGCAAAAAAACCGTGTTAACCAGGAATAATTTATTCTCTATGTATGTAAGATCTTTGAGAATGTTGAAATTGTATTCAAGAAATATCTTTTTACAGATTTGTACTTAACATTCCTTCAGTGATAATCCAGATAATTTTGTAGTCATTTTATAGCTTCAGCAAATACTCAGTTGTGTTTTATTATTGTATAGAGTGAATATATTTTATTATCTAAGATAACAGATTTATGTTTGTGTGGTTAATGCACCTTTCCAGTGGTTCAGGTTGAATGTGTGAAACTATTAGACTATACCTTCTATCTGGAACAACAGTATCGAAACTGTTAATTCTATCCATTGTAAAATGGTATCATTCTATTGCCTCCAGTGAATGACAAATAAATGTAATACCTTAAAAAAATTATATTTACAGAGAAAATATATTTGAAAGTGAATGTCTGATTTTCAAAATAAATTTTATTTGAAATAATTTTTTTAAATCTGTGTGTAAAATGTTTTTAAGTCCCTGCATGAGGAGAAGTGGTACAGTTAATATGAAGGAGTAAGTTAACGGAGCTGGAGACAGCAGGAGTCCGGGGACATCAGAGGTCTCCCCTCTGTACCTCATCTTGTCCCCGTGGACAGACTTGTCTCAGACTCACTAGTACAGAACTGAGTGCCTTCTGTGGGCAGTCATGGTGACCAGAGAGTCCCTTCTGAAAAGGCCACAGTGGTGCTGAAGTTAGCCCTGGGGTTGGGAGCAGCAAGCAAATTCTCTACCTTAGAAATATCCCTCCCGGGTAGGACTCCTCAAGCTGACCTTGAACCAGGAATGGCTGCTCCGGCGGCATTCAAAGGGAAGGTTTTGGGAAGGCAGGGAAATAGAATATCAGGATAGCCAGGAAAATTCTTGTTGAACAAGACTCAGGTTCTCCAACCAGAAATCTTTCACCGGAGTTAAGACAAAGAAACTAGATGCTGCCAGGTTTGGGAGGTCTTGTTTGTTTTGTTTGTTTAGGTACTTTCTAGGGATCAATCTAGTGACTCATATCTGTAGTCCTTCCCTGCACTTAGGAAACTGAGGTGACAGACCACCATGACATTAAGGGTTACAGGGTAATACTCTGTTTCAAAGGAAGAAGAAACTGGTTTAAGAACAAGTCATAGTTCCTCAAAGACAAACTAGCAGGTGGATGAGGCAGGCTGAAGCCCTGAGCAAATCCTGGATCCGGCTTAGTATCGCTGTGCACTGTTTTATACTTTGCTGTGGACTACCTTATCTTGCCCAGCCCAGTTCACATTACTAGCCAATCAAAACCTTTGTCTAAGGACTTGGATTTTTTCCAAGAGTTTGAAAGGAAGGCATTTTCTAGAAACGGATTTCCATCTTCCCTGTTTGTTATCCTGTCAGACATGGGTCTACCTCAGCCCTGCAGTTTCCATAGAAGGTCCCTGCTACAGAGCCACAAGGTCATGAATCAAGTGACCCAGGAGATGGGGTAGGCTGTCTGTTATAACCAGCAACAGCATGGGTCAGTGAGAGCCAAGGGTATTCTATCTTACATGGATCACAAATATGCAGGTATGTGTGCATGTATGTACACATTCATGTGTGCTCATGTAACATGCACAAGTGGAAGCAGTGATTAATACTAGGCATCCTCCTTAACAACACTCTATTTAAAAAAAAAAAAACCAGTCTCTTACTGCAGCTGAGGCTCAGTGAGATTCTACTACTGTCCGGCCAGCGAACCCCAGGGATCCTCCTATCTCTGCTTCTCTAAGCCCGGTCTTGGGCACTTTCCACCATGCCTGGCTTTTTGATGTGCGCGCTAGGAATCTGAACTTAGTCCTCCTGTTTGTACAGCAAACACGCCACTGAGATGTCCCCCCCAGCACCACTGGTAACTATTTTTAGGCCAACGTTTTAAAGCATAAGTGTTTGTGGCATGTAGTGTTACTCAGCCCCTGACGTGAAACCAAACTTTCTTTTCCTCAATGCACTTGGCTCCCCAGTCATTAGACTCCCCAGTCACTTGCTGGTCATTCAGTAATTTCAGGTCAGCTTAATATTAAAGCCTAGGAAGCTGTATTCAGTTGCAGGTTCAACCCCATGCATCATATCTGCTGTAAGAGTCCATTGGTGAATCTCATTCTCTATCCCCAGCCACCTCAGACTCCACAGTACCAATACTACCTGGAGCAGACACAGCAGCCGGGTTGGTGTTACCTCCCCCTCCCAGCATGAACGTCAGTGTTTCCTTTCCTTGGCATTGTGTGCGTGTAGGTATGCATGCTATGGCATGCGTGTGGAAGTCAGGACTATTTAGAAGAGTTCATTCTTCTACCAAGTGTCCACCCCCACAACCCCTATATAAAGCCAGTGGTTAGGTTTGGCAACAGTCACCTTTGCCCACCCAAGCTCTCTTGCCTGCCCTGAAATCTTTGCCTATTATAGTATTTCGTATTACTCTTACTTTTGTTAAGAGTACTATGGGTCTCCTGGAGAGATAATATAACAGTTTCTCCCCAACCTCAGGAATCACCATGGATGGAAACCCCAGTGGAGGGAAAAGATGAAGACCAAAAGATCAATATACTTAAACATAGGAAAGCACTTAAGAGAGTTTGTGTAAACATTTCTATCAGTATATGTGTTCAATTGTCCAGAAAAAAAAAAACAAGACAATCAAAAAACCCTATACCTAATGACTTTTGTTATTTAATATGACTTGTACTTTCAGTACAGAAATCAGTGGTCCTCAGCTCATCTGAGTCAAGAGGGAGGACTGTTGTATAGCAGTTTTCTCCTAGATTGAAACATTCCATCTTGCAGGAATACTCCTTAAGACAAAAGGTAAACAACTCAAAGTACCCTCAGGAAGTCTCCAAAACTGAGCAAATTCACTAAGCCCCTCCCTCCCCAAGAGTCAACAATAAAGGTAGCTGAGAGTCACTCAGATGAGCAAAGCTGCAAAGACGCTCAGACCAGATCAGCTGCTCTGGAAGAAGCAGGAACCAGCAGAGCTGCCTGGCAACAGTTTCCACCAACTGAATCACCTAGAAAGGACATTCTCTGTTGAGGAGCCTGCAGGCTGTGCACTGTGCTGTGGGTTCACATCTTTGTGAGCTGTCACCCGTGCTGGGGTGAACTTGATGAGTCATTTCTGCTCCTGAAAGTCACCCATATTCTAGTCAGTAACACCAATAAAACTCACTGGTCCACCAAGTTGGACTTTGGTACTATCTGTACTTTGGTGTGTCATAGGCTCTCTGTCTGTAGTAAGTAGATATGTTTATTGCCTCTTCCCATGAAAACTGTTATCATGGGAATGCTTCATCTTCCCAGTCTTACTTCCTTCTATGTTAGCTTCTAGCTTTAAGCTAAAGGTTTTCTGATCATAAGAGGGCTGCCCCAGCTCCAAGCATCACGTCTCAATATGACAGCATTTAAAATAAAAGGGGGAGGGGCTTTTCATCTCCATAAGTGTCATAGACCAGGATTGAATATACAGACAAAAGTGAATAGTTAGCATTTTCAGCCTCTTTGGTAGCAATCAGACAAACCTGACATGGCTAGAAATGGTTATTAGGTTGGGGAAACAGTGTTGGTTACAATGTCACAAAAACAAAACTGGCTATACACAATAAGAAGCCACACAATCAGCATGAAGTTGCCATCCCTTAGTGGTCACAAACACTTCACGAGTCTTTCTTTTAACAACAGCATTGTGGGAGTGACTTCATTTTATTGTTTCAATGGTGTTTTTTTTTTTTTACTAGTTCTTTAATTACTTTTTAAAAGATTTATTTTTATTGTATGTGGTTGATCAGTTTCGCCTGCATGTACATGCAACATGAGTGTGCAGTACCAATGGGGGCCAGAAGAGGGTGTTAGGTCCCCCAGAGCTGGAGTTACAGACAGTTGTGGGCCGCCATGTGGATGCTGAGAACCAAGTCCAGGTCTTCTGCAAAAGCCCCAAATGCTCCTAACTTCTGAGCCATCTGTCCCACCCCAGATTTTTACATTTTTTTTCAAAATTGTTTTTCAAAATCATATGACTAGTTTTCTAGAAGCTTATCATAATTCTGATTTAACTCAGATGCTTAAAGAGTGTAATGGGTGGTGTTTAAAAATCTGTGGCACGAGCGGGCTATCTAATCAGTGGGGCGACTCTGCTTAGCTCCGGTCGCCATGTTCTGCACTAGAAGAGGCCAGAGGCCACATGCACCACAACTAGGCCCACAAGAAGCCAGCCTGGTGGCTGGCTCTGCCAATTCACCACGCTGTCTCCGCAAAGCTCAGCTGAGCCCCTGATAATACCTGCCGTCCTCGCGGTACCCAGTAGAATGAAGACTCTTAATGCTTAAAGATTATCCAATGGATTTATATATTTGGAAATGCTCAATTAATAAGACACCCACATAATTAGAATAGTTATCCAATATCTAACCTTAGATATAAGTTGCTTCCATCCGTCTTCCTCCAGGACCGCTAGCCTCCTTTCTCTTTTCTCTTCCTCTCCTTCTCTCCTCCCAACTCCTCACTCCGCCTACCTCTCATACTGCCCAATCACCGTGCTTGATTGCAATGTAGCAGGAGGAGGGGGGAATATCCCACTACAAAAGAGGGAGAGAGTAAGTTCACATACACATTTGGGCATTTCTCAAAACTTCAGACGGTTATACAGCCTCACCTTTGATGTATTATTTTAACCAGAGAGAGGTGGGTGCTTGGGTCGGGTTCCCTTTTGCTTAGAGGGGCAGGGAGCCGTCTCCTTACTTCACTGGCCGTGTGAGGAAAGAGGTGCCTATGTGCTCGCCATCCCTGTCCTCATGGACCTGTGCTCCTGCCGAGCCCTCACCCTGCAGAGACACAGAAGGAAGTAATCTCAGTCTCTTACTAAAGCACTCACTGGAGGTGCCCACCCTTATGACCTAATTACTTTGCAGAGCCCCGCCTCCCAGAGTCATCAGAGACTCAAGTTTCAACATAGTTTGGGGAGAATACCAACACCTCAGTTCTCCAAGTTTTAAATAATGATGCTGGCCATGCTAAGAATACAGGAGATTTGAGGCTGTCTCTGTGCTCCTGGTCCAGCTCTGAGGTACCTACCTGGTCACCTCATCCATCACATCCCAGGGGAAGTATGCACCGGAACCCTCCCTAGGTTCCAGGTGAGGGCACCAAGGCTTAGAAAACTCCCCTGCCCCAAGCACCTAGCTTAGAAGTGGTGACTCCTACAAACATTGGACTGTCAGAAAAGAGACACCACACTCAGTAAGAATCAAATGAAGTCAAGCAGGAAAATGTTCTGTAAACAGTCAAACCCCAAGCATGCCTAGAAACCATTGTGCAGTTTGTGTGCAAGAGCTGAAACCATTCACTGGTGATGGTAATTATATTTGCACAAGTTCCCAGATAAACACATTTCCCCTCACAGGCTCCACGGCTATCATTTAGGGTACCAAGATAGACAGACTGAGAAC